GGACAGAGGACAGAGGACGGAGAGGACAGAGGACAGAGACAGAGGACAGAGAGGACAGAGGACAGAGGACGGAGAGGACAGAGACAGAGGACAGAGAGGACAGAGGACAGAGGACGGAGAGGACAGAGACAGAGGACAGAGAGGACAGAGGACAGAGACAGAGGACAGAGAGGACAGAGGACAGAGGACTGAGAGGACAGAGGACAGGGAGGACAGAGGACGGAGAGGACAGAGGACAGAGAGGACAGAGGACATAGAAGACAGAGGACAGAGACAGAGGACAGAGGCAGAGGACAGAAAGGACAGAGGACAGAGGACAGAAAGGACAGAGGACAGAGAACAGTGAGGACAGAGGACAGAGGACAGGAGGACAGAGAACAGTGAGGACAGAGAACAGAGGACAGAGGACAGAGGACAGGACAGAGGACAGAGGACAGAGGACAGACTAACCTTTCCAGGTCGAGGGTTCATCTTGCCGTGCTCCTTCTGTTTGGTCAGCTGCAGGAGACAGAAAATGACCTGATTTAATCCTGAACAGGTCTGTGAGGAGTTCAGGCAGAAATGATTTCTGGAGTTTTGAAGAGTCTAAGCTGACAGAACCAGAACCTGCTGGTCCGGATCACTCAGACTCAGACAGAACACCTGATTCCTCCACTGACAGCTGACCTGCAGACCTGCAGACCTGCAGACCTGCAGACCTGCAGACACCTGCAGACACCTGCAGACCTGCAGACCTGCAGACACACATCCTGTCTGTCTGAAGTTATGAAAGTCTTAGCAGGAATGAAGCAGGCAGATGTGTGCAGGGGGTCTGATCAGGTGAGGGTCTCAGGTGTCCCTGTAGCTGTGCAGGAAACAGGTGACCTTCAGGATCCAGTTACAAACCAGAGTCCTGCTGCTGCAGCTCCAGTTTCAGCTCTGTCTCCAGTTTGTCCACAAAAACAGAAGGAAACAGGTGCTCTGTGGTTACACAACAGTTTGAAAGACTTTCACCTGATGAGTCAGAGACCCCAGCTGCCCCCCTCTCTGCAGATCCTCCTGCTTCCCTTTTTCTTTTTAACAAACATCTTTCAGTTCTGGACAGAAATACACAAATCTGGTTTTTACCAGGGTTTCACATGGTTCCAGTCCAGCCTCAGCTTACCAAAGAGCTGATGTTTGTTCAGCGGTCTGATGCAGAATCAGGATATTAAACCACTGAACAGAGACCAACTGGTTCCAGTCCTGCTGCTTCCAGCAGACCTCAGAGCTGCAGGACCAGGATCTGTGTAACCCTGCAGAGTGTCCTCCTGATCTGCTCTTCTATCAACACAACAACAGGTCACGCAGCGTGGGTCAGAACCAGTCTTAATGCTTGTTTTCAGTGGACAGACCTGACAGAATGAGACAGAAGCAGCTCTGACACCTGCACAGCCACAGGTCCTCAGAGCTGCAGCTGCAGCAGCTTCTGTTTCTTCACTGACTGCCTGAAAGTGATCCCATCACACAAACCACACAGCCAAACCTGTGCATGGATGAGTGAACCTGTGACAGACATGTTCAGTCTCTGTGCTCCTGTCAGCTGCACCTCGTCAAGCTAACCAGTCCTGAAAGCTGGGCGAGGTCTGAAGGTGTGTCTGATGTGTGCAGGAGCAGAAAGGTAGCTGGAGTGGGTGTKGACAGCTCTGAGAACTATTTCTCTACAACATGAAGCGTCCTGCAGACTTCAAACTGCTGCCTGACTCTTCCTGCACACAGATGGAGATGTTTCATCTTTGATCCTTGTTGTGTGAGACAAAGCACAGCAGGACATGAAGCAGCCTCAGACTGCAGGGTGATCACAGCAGAATAAAGAAGAAAAGCAGAACTGACACTTGTTGTGTCTCTGTGTGCACCTGACAGCTGGAAATGTTACCTGTTTGCTCTAAAAACAGGTTAAAATGTTTAAAATGTAAAAGAGTCCAAAAGGTTAAAGATCTGTTCCTGGATGCTTCCCTTCAACCAGTTCTGTGAAACGGTCCAAACCTCTAAGGAAATCTGTTGTCAGGATGTAAACTGGATCCAGAAGATCCCATCGCCTCCCTGCCTCCCCCCAGGAGCACGCTGGTGTGGACCACCTGACCAACAGCCCACAGGATGTGAGGCTGCAGGGCAGGACTTCAGGTCCAGCAGTCTGCAGCATGACGTGCTCCTTCTTTCTGCCCCCTGCACACCTGCAGACTGTGTGTTACCTGTGTGTAATAATCACAGCACTGTGTACCCCACAGGAGTACACAGTAAAACTGTGTACTGTGTACTCCTCTGGGGTTCTGTACTCTTGTTGAGTTGCTGTGATTTTCAGCTGAATTTCCCCTTTGAAGGATAAATAGTCCATGTGACTGATGAGTTCATATTTAACCTACATCACATGTCCAGTAACATCCAKATTTATGGATTAAATGTCTAAATAATCAAAGAACAGCTCCTCCTTAAGGGAATGTGAAGAACTTCACAACTTCTGAACAGATGACATGAAACRCAGGTCAGCAGTGTTCAGTCTGTTCTGTCTGAGGGTTGGACATAATGAGGGTCGTGGGGAATGTGAAGGAAACCTTCTGAGCGTAGAGGGTTCTTCTACAGAGAAATCCTCTCTTATATGAAGTCCTGTGTTCAGCGTCTACCCAGAGAACTTCACACAAACAAATCAAACTGCTGAACTGGAGACGTCAGGAAACCAACTGGATTGATTTGTTTTAAGTTTGACACTTTCTCCTATTAAACTGTTTTTCCTGTGCAGATCTGGAAAGATCACTTCTGTTGTCAAAGGGACCAAAAGACTGTCTTGAACTCTGGGAGTCGTTTCCTGTGCTCTCTCAAGATTCATTTCAAACAGTCTGTGATGTCATCAATTAAAAATAAAACTATTTTAACATGGGGGGGGTGGGTGTTATGGGTACAAAAAAACCTAAAATCAGACTTTTTCTGCAGATTGAACCAGCTGTTGTCTGACACCAGAGACATCACCTGCAGCTCAGGTGTGACTCCACATATCTAATGTGGAACGACTGATGAACAGCAGGGAAATCAGGACTCAGTAACTATCAGACACATGACCTGCAGGAAGTACAGCTCCACACCAGAACCTCACATCAGGTGTTTCACATTTCTGTGTTCACACACACACACACACACACACACACACACACACTAGTACTCACATATGCATCTGGAAATGCTCTGTATTTGGACAACAGGCTCTGGTCTGGTTCAGCTTGATGGTTCTGGAACTGGGGCCCAGTGTGCACGCTGCTGAACTGGGGCCCAGCGTGCACGCTGCTGAACTGGGGCCCAGCGTGCACGCTGCTGAACTGGGGCCCAGTGTGCACGCTGCTGAACTGGGACATGTGTGATCCTTCCTCACAGCTGAGGCTCCTCTGCAGGGTCCTGGGTCCCTGGCTGAACATGGAGGATAAGGGGGTTTCTGAGATGGAGAAGGGCCGGTGCAGGTCTATGGATCCAGTGGGGCTAAGCAGGAGGGTTGGGCTTGTAATAGATGGGGGGGAGCTGAGGCCCAGGGAAGGGGACCGGCTGATCCGAGAGCTGCTGGACTCTTCAGTTCCACTCAGTGAGGCTGAGGAAGAAGAATTTAGGAGGAAGGACAAGCGCTCTAAGCGGGACCGTGATGGTTCTGGACCGGCCCCCATCTCAGCTGGCTCTTTAAGTCTGACAACGGTAGGCTCAGTCGAGGGTCTGATCTCTGGCAGCGAGCCAGAGCAGAACAGGGTCTGCTGGGTCGTCCCGTTCTCTACAGTCTGGTCTGAGGAAGAGGAGCGGTAGCTGCTGAAGATGACACTGCTGTCGAGGCGAGATCCGGTGGAGGGGGGTGGAGGAGGTTCTGTTCCGTTCAGCAGGGGGGAGGGAAAGTCCTGAGGAGAGTCAAAGAGAACATCTGAAATGGTTCTGACATGTTTGGACAAAYTGAACAACCAAAACCCAGAAGATCTGGATCAAAGTCTTCAAACAGCTGTTGGATCAGTTGAAYCATTTGGAATGAGATATGGTTCTTCACATAAACTGCTGAATGATGCAGTACCAGAACCAATAAGTTCTGGAACATTTAAGTAATCTGGACCTGGGAACGGTCTTTATTCTGAGAGAATGTGATGGTTAAAGGTTCTGTTGGACCTGACAGGAAAGCCCAGAGGTCTACAAGTTCAAATGATTTCAAAACTCTACAGAATCTGAAGAGAGTAAGACTAAAACACCCCTAGAGAACCAGACTGAAGGACTAAACACTCCTACAGAACCAGACTGAAGGACTAAAACACCCCTACAGAACCAGACTGAAGGACTAAAACACCCCTACAGAACCAGACTGAAGGACTAAACACTCCTAGAGAACCATACTGAAGGACTAAACACCCCTACAGAACCATACTGAAGGACTAAACACTCCTACAGAACCAGACTGAAGGACTAAAACACTCCTACAGAACCAGACTGAAGGACTAAACACCCCTACAGAACCAGACTGAAGGACTAAACACCCCTACAGAACCAGACTGAAGGACTAAACACCCCTACAGAACCAGACTGAAGGACTATACAGACCTGCTGAGAGAGAGGTACCTGGCTCCTCTTCATCAGGTCCAGGGGGGATCGGGTGTCTCTGGAGGCGCTCCTCTTCAGGCCCAGCTCAGCTGGCAGTGTGTACAGTCCGTTCTGGGACTCCTCTGAGTCTGTGGTTCTGCTGTTGAGAGGGGGACTGACAGRAGTAGGAGCATCCTCCACGATGGGGGGCAGGGATGAGACGAGGACCGGTGGAGGGGGACGCAGGACAGCGGTCTTTGGCCTCAGGGACGGCCCCATGCTTCTCAGAGTGTCCACCAGGCTGTCCATGTCGTTGTGGATGGGTGAGTCTGCGTCAGGGGAAGACGGGGGAGTGGAGGTGGGGGCTGCGGGGTCAGAGGTCAGCTCCACCAGGGTGGCCTTAAACAGTCCCGTAAAGTCCGAGCAGTCGGTGTCGTCAAAGCTGCTCCAGGAAGACACAGGGAGCTGCTGAGACTCCCAATCTGACTCTCCCTCTGTCTGTCCTGCCTCTTCACCGGTAACAACTGGCTCCACCTCCTCCATCAGGCTCCGCCTCCACTCATCTGCTCCATAGTCCTGGATCAGGTAGCCAGTCCCGTCACTCAGACCGTTGTCGGGGCTAACAGAGGAGGAGCTGGTCTGTGTGCAGGAAGTGGAGTCTGAAGAAGTGAAAGATGGTTTATACTGAGTTACCCCCACAAACCTGTTCTTCCACCTGTACTCTGGTCCTGAATCGGAGTACTCTGATCCAGTGTCAGGGCTGCTGTCGGCCTCTTTCACCAGTGACACTTTGTGGAAACGAGGTTTGGCTTCTTCTTCACTGGTTAAAGACGAGCTCTTCAGGCTCAGCTTGGTGCTCAGAGTGCTGTAAGCTGAACTCATGGTGTCAGCTGGAAGGACTGAAGCTGCAGCTGAAGAAGGCAGGGAGCTGCAGGAACACACACAGCACAACAAATACAAGTCAAGCTTCATGCAGACAGTCAGCTGACACACAACACAAACACCTGCACTTATTCAGACTTTACACAAGTCATCAGATTCATTCATTGGTTAAATTCTTCCTGAATCGTTCAAAAGCTTGATTTCATTTTAAAAGAAGAAACTGGACGAAGCTCCTAAACAACTCGTATCTTTATATTATTTAAACTCTTATAACTGACAGTTGTCATGGTTAGGAGCTGAGCTGTGACGGGAGCAGAGGATTGTGGGACAGGTGTGGCTGGTTGAATACCTTCACAGTCTGTCAGTCAGTGTCTGCATCATGGTTGTTTTAAGGCTCACAGGTCCTGAACAGCTTGTTAAAGAAGAGTCACCCTGAGAACAGGCAGCTTGTTCTGCACCTGCCTGTGAGCTGAACTCAACTAACAGAACCCAGAAACASGAGTCTCTGCTGCCCCCTGCTGGTTTAAACACACACTGAATATTAGTTCACTCAAAGTATCAAGAACTGATCAGAGGGTTCTGATCCAGCTCAAACACAATATAAGTTTGGCATGCTAAATAAACCCAGATCTTCAGGTCCAGCACTTGTATCTGACCCGACCTTCTCATCACCAGCAGAGGGCAGACACAGCAGCAGGTCAAASGTTAAAGGTCAGACTCCACTGGCCTCAGTCAGCAGGTCAAAGGTCAGGACTTGTCTGGAGGGGTCACAGCAGAAAGACTCTTCTCTCTAAAACAAAATGGCAACATGACTCAGGTTTGTTTCATCTGAAGGTACCACAGGACCTCCACAAGACCAGAACCAGATCAGAGGACAAGTTTACCCAGAATGCACTGCAGCAAACAGCTCCTCCCAGCTGTCAGGACAGTAGGAGAGGCCTGATGTTTGATGAGTGGACCACCCAGAGACCAGACAGAGTCAAACTGGGTCCAACAGGACCACAGAGCTGGTCTACAACAGAACGGGCCATAAAGAACAGAACCACAGTGCTGCAGTGGTCCTGTCAGAGACCAGAACCTGAACCAGACTGAAAAGCTGTGTTGGAGCCTTCAGAGAGCTGAGCAGAACCTCAATAAACTGAAGCAACGCTGGAAAGAAGAGTGGGCCAAACTTTCTCCACAACCATGTGAGACTGAAACAGAACCACAGAGTTCTGGTTCCACTCCATTCTAACCCGTCTGTTCTGCTCCATCTGGGCTTTCTCCTGTAGACGTGGATTTCTCTGGTAGAATTTCAATCTGTCTCAAAACCTGCAGCTCTTTTACAGCCGGCTGCTACAGCCGGCTGCTACAGCCGGCTGCTACAGCCGGCTGCTACAGCCGGCTGCTACAGCCGGCTGCTACAGCCGGCTGCTACAGCCGGCTGCTACAGCCGGCTACTTCTCTCCTCCCAGCAGGAGATGGTTGTTTACAGCACACACAACTCCACTTAGCTTCTTAGCTTAGCTTCCTTCATGGTCCAGCTGTTACACTACATACATCACAGCCAAACGACTAACAGGCTAACAGGCTAATGACTAACAGGCTAATGACTAACAGGCTAACAGGCTAATGACTAACAGGCTAACAGGCTAACAGGCTAACAGAGTCCAGACCCTGTGTATGAAGCAAAGCGTAGAACAACAGGCTGTGTTTCACCAGGCAGAATAAACTCTGGTGTTTAGGGAAAATCTGATGTGGTTCATGTTTCTTCTTTGTTCTGAGACCAAGAAATGAAAGTTTTAGAAAACCATTTGAAGRAAATGTTCCGGTCTCAGAAGGAGGATTTCCAGCAGAGCTCAGGTTTCTCTGAGGAACAGATTACCTGGCCCAGGTGTGGTTTAACATTCTTCACAGTTTTACTCCATCGTTGCCTGAAGCATCATTCCTGTGAATCATGTTTGCTTTAAATCCAGCTTCAGGTGAAACAGAAACCACAGCAGCAGATTTACAGTACAGRCTTGTTGAACTGCATTTCTATGAAAATGAGTTGAAGTTTGAACATGTGTGAGTGCAGAACAACAGGTAGAAGCTGCAGGTGGACTGAATTCTGCTCAGTCCACTTCACTTGGTCCTGGATTCCAACAACAGTTCAAAGAATGGACCCATGGAACCAGCCCAACAGCTGATAGGACCACACAGACCAGGGATTACTTCAGRGAACCTGTGTCAGGTCCTACAACTCAGAATTACAGGTGTTAACATGGTCCAGAGGCAGCGTGGGCTTCTCCAGGGTCCATCAGGGTTGGACCACCACACAGCAGAAACCTGGATCAGACAAATCCAGATTCCAGACAGGACCAAAGAGGAGCATCCTGACTGCTGTCAGCAACAAGAAGAAAGAAGGAGCCTCTGAAGGAGCCTCTGAAGGAGCCTCTGAAGGAGCCTTCAGCGGTCAGAGGGAACACAAACACCAGGTCAATGGGTCCACTGAGAAGCACGGAGGTGGTGGTACCATGCTGGAGTCTGGCTGCACAAACAGGTCAAGTACAGAAGCCCGGTTCCATGATGGTTTGGGTCTGGACCAGGGTTCTATGATAGTTCTGAGTGGAAACAGAAATTGTTCTACAGGTAATGTTGGTGGATCCATCTGGTTCTGTCAGCAGAACCTGAGTCAGAGGTAGAACCTCTCTCACCTGAGCTGCAGGTAAAACAACGTGACGATAGAGTCCATCACCTGAAGGTTCTGAGCAGCTTCAYGTCTACACTAGCAGTCAGCAGTAGCTTTCAGACAGTCCTGTTGAAGGTTAGTGACCCTAACCCTAAGCCAGGTGTGACTCACCTGTGCTCCTCAGCTGGATGCAGCTGTGCAGCTCCTCTGTCAGGACCTGGGGTTTCTGCGGCTGGTGACTCCACTATCACCTGCTGGAATGTTGCCGGGTTCCCGCCGGCACTCTGACTCACTGATCCCGCCCCCTCAGGACTGCACAGAGCAGCGTCAGGTGTGGGTCCACCTGCAGCACACCTGTCTGCAGAAAGYGAACTGTGCTCGTCTTCCTCCCCGGTGCTGGCTCTGATCCCTGTGGAGCCTCCTCGGGTTTCAGCAGGGCTCCTGGTGAAAACAAGGAACTGGTCCTGCAGCTTTGGGGGCCACGGCTCTCGGATTCCCTCCCCTTCTAGATCAGAGGAGGGCAGTGCAGAGTCACATTCCTTCATCGTGCTCACCTGCAGAACCTGTGGGGCCGGTAGCTCCTCCTTCTCAGGTGCTGCAGTTTGTTTCTCCTGACTCGGTGGAGTTCTGCCCAGAACAAAGTCACAGTTTTCTTTGGACCGACTCTGATCCTCTGAACCTCCAGGATTTTCTTCTCTGTTAGTTTCCAGTGGAGGACCTTTCAGGTGTCTCTCCTGTCCCAGGTGTCTGTCCTGTCCCAGGTGTCTGTCCTGTCCCAGGTGTCTCTCCTGTCCCAGGTGTCTCTCCTGTCTGTCCCCTGTTTGCAGGTCTTTCCCTCCTTCAGGTACAAGCACTTCCTCTCTTTTGTCCACAGGGAGCGTCTCCTCCTCCTCCTCCTCGCTCTCTTTGTCGTTGTCCTCCTGAGCGCTGAAGTAAACCTCCATCGTGCTGCCTTCATCTGATCCCACGCTCAGGTAAGACGGACTCAGAGGTCCGTTGCTGCCATCGGTCTGGCTCAAAGGCTCAGGGAAGCCCTCCTTGTTGGGGTTCACCTCTGAATCCTTGGCTGGGATCATGTTGTCAGCAGGAGCTGTGATCACCTGTCTGACAAAGACCGCTCTGCGTCTGGACTGAGGAACCTGAGCTCCGGTCCCTGGGGACGAGCCAGGAACAGGAAGAGAAACCAGACCTGGACTCTGACACTCCAGCTCCAAACAGGACTGATTCAGTTCCTGCAGACAGGGCTGGACCAGCTGTTCTGAACAGGTCTGGTTCAGAGCAGACCTGGTCTGGATCTGCAGCTCAGAGGAGCGTGGGGTCTGGTCTGGAGAACTGGTCAGTTTTATGTCAGCTGAACAGGAACCAGCAGCAGGGTCAGGYGACCACAGGTGGGGTGGCTCTTCTTCCTGAGACTGGGTACTGGTTTGGGTTTCAGAGACAGGGTGGTCCACAGTCATGTGGGTCAGAGGGCTCAACACAAGCTCAGAGCTAAAGTTCTGGGGGAACAGGGTCTCGTACAGAGCTCCATACACAGATTCAGGACTGATGGGACAAGAACTCTGATCCCTGCTGACAGCTGGGGTTCCAGGTCCAGTCTCAGATCCAGGATCAGTTCTCTCAGTGAGGAGGACTGAAGGTTCCTGATAATCAGCTGATCCAAGTGGAGCAGAACCTGAGTTCTGATTGGCTGGATGAGAGCTCTGATCTCTGACAGCTGTAGTCATGGTACCAGTTTCTGGGGGACTGGTTTCTGTTGGTTGGGTCGGTGGTTCCTGGTGAAGGTTTGGTTCTGGAGCAGAACCTGAGTCCTGATAGGCTGGATGAGGGCTCTGATCCCTGACAGCTGAGGTCTGAGCTACAGTTCTAGGACCTGTTCTCTCAGTTAGGGGCACTGAGGGTCCCTGACAAGCAGCTGGTCCAAGAGGGTCAGCCCCTGACAYAGAACCGGTCCTGTTGGACCCAGGGTTCATCAGGAGGGGCTCAGGACCATCTAGGTGATATGATGAGGTGCTGCTGGTGTCGGCTGATGTAGTGAGGATGCCATCAGGCAGGTCCTGGTGGACTGCCATGGGATCCAGGGTGCCAGGCATGACCCATGTTGGTTCTGGTGGGAGTCCAGAACCATCAGGGACAGACTGGGGTCCAGCTGAAAGAACAGCTTTCAGAACAGGAAGCTCTTCTGTCTCTGTTGGAGCTGAGTCGTCCAGCTGCACCTCAGACACTGAAGCAGATGGATCTCTCAGGGTTTCTGTGACCCAGCTGTTGGTCAGAAGGTTCTGAGGTTCTGACTGGGAGCTTGATGGGAAACAGACGGTGGACTGTGATGGGTCTGAGGCCAGAGGAACAGCTGGTGGGATGTCAAAGCTCCYGCTGGTGTCAAGCTCTGGTTGAGACAAACTCAAGAGTCTTCTTGTGTCCTTCTGATCTGGATCCATGTGACGGAGGTCCACGGGGTTCTGTGAGAACATCCAGAACTGGGTCAGATTTACACACAAGACCAGCTGAGGAACAAATCACCATTTTATGCTGGATACAGATGTTGAATCCAGTAGAATAGAATAGAATAGAATAGAATAGAATAGAATAGAATAGAATAGAATA